GATTTCTTCTTCACGAAATTTCTTCATGAAATTCAACATCTATACAAATATATTCTGGTTAATAGTATAAGCGTTTTCAATCACGATCGTCAATTGTCTTACCTTTAATTTATGCTCTAAACGTCGAGAGTAAGCTCCCAATCTTCTAATTTCTTGGAATGAATCATAAGCCTAGGCAATATATTATTATTACTATTTTATATAATATCAATGAAATATATTCAGGAAATGCTATTAATTTCTACCACACAATTACATTTATGTAATAATCCTAATGTTGTACAGTACCATTCATGCTACCCTTGCTATGAATTGTTATATTCTACCTGAGCAGCTGAGTGATATGCTGAAGTATTAGATAATAAATTTTAAAGATAATACATATTGTTGTTTTCCGTTTTCACAAATTTACAATTAAATATACTCATTGCGTCATCTCTAACAAACATTTCAATCAGTAACGAATATATTATTTAATTTATAATTTCGAATATATTTAATACGGTTATTACATTAGTAAGTAACACATTCGTTATAAAAGAACGCGATTCTTATCCGTTATAATTAATAAAAAAATTATAACTGATACTTACGGATGCTGCTAGTCTTGAAACTGCAAATGCCAAAAACGTCAAGCTTATAACTATCAAAGTTGTAACAGCTATGGTCATTATGTACACATTAGTGATAACTATCCGGAATAAAGTAGTGTAGAAACAAATTGACACAATCGTAATGCTCATTTCGTAAAAAAAAAGAAAGTATTCATTTTTCTTGTCATTAATATCGTCTAGAAGATCGCAAAGTTCTGCATGTTTGGCTATTAAATTATCAATTTCTTGTTTGGGACAATTAACTTTTGCAAATTGTAATTCAAATAACAGCGCATCGAATCTTTCTTTGACAGCGAAACACGTCACACCAAACACTATTATTGTAACTAACATCAAGCTGCACTCGTATATTACGCATGTGTTGAGGAAAACGCTGCAAATTACACTACGCCAATAACCACTGACTTGTTCGATTTTTGTACCAAGGATTTTCGATATTGTAATTGTCATGATAATAGCTAAGATGAAAAATGCGCTTCCTACCCAAAGATGAATTATTTTCTGATATCGCAATAGTTTTTCTCTTTCGCCTGCGTAACTCGACAGCTTTTGGTTAAGCGGTATATTCTGATTTCGTCCGGCTTTGTGAAGGACAGCACTAAAAAATGCAACTGACAAAAGTAGGGATCTAACAAATGGCATGCTTTGTTTTTCGGTCAAGCTGTGTGTGGCACTGCACCCAATTGTTCTATCTGTTGGGAAAAGCTGGATACTTAATAGAATGAAGTGTGCTATGTATATACCTTGCACGAATAGCATGTAAATTCGCATAGCCTTAGCCTTGTTCTGTGGCCTGCAATTGCAAGGCTCGAAGAATAAGCCCCCAAATATATAGGATAGAGACATGGACGGTAAGAGGGAACAATATAAGCATTCATCTCCCATTGTGAATGGCTTTGATTCAAATTTTGTATTCGTATAGAACACAAGCAACCGTATTCTTTATATAACACAGTACTCTAGTATACATTTCTATCGAACTGTTGTCTATATCGTTATTAATGTCCAAGCTATTTCAATTACTTAACGTGCCATAAGGAAATGAATTTCCGAATATATAATTAGAAGCAAATCGATAATGTATAAAATGAAATGATACAGATATGGAACAGTCGCTTTATACGTGTACAAGTATTAACTCATAATTTAAGTAGAAGAATGTAAAATGTGACATTCTGTTATTTGTAATTTATTATTAGTAGTTACATAAATACTTAAAGAATGCTGTTAAATATATTAAATGCATTATATATTTATGTGGTTATAGAGAATTGGAAATAGCCATTTAAAATTTTTTAAATTACAGAATATCATGGTAAAAATACTTTTATTTCTATATTAATTAACATGTGAACAGAATTAAACGCATTTATATTTATTAATTAATCATTTAAACTCATTCGTGATTTCTAAGAAACAAATAATCATTATGGATACCGGTTTCTAAGGCTTTTCGATAGTGTTAAATCGTGAAAATTTACCAATTTCTTGCAAAGAATTTTCTCTTCAATATAGAAATAATCGAAATAATAAACAAGCAACGCCGAGCTCATCTGCTAGTACTATAATAAACTAAAATAATTATGAAAATCTCTGAAATATGGTACACCCCC